GCAGAGACTCCAGCAGAGGACTATGAACATGATCAAGGGAACAGGGCACCTCTCTTATGAGGAAAGGCTGGGTCTGTTTAGCCTGGAGAAGAGAAGACTGAGAGGGAATTTCATCAATGCTTAGAAATATCTAAAGGGTGGGTGTCAAGAGGATGGGGGCAGACTCTTTTCAGTGGTGCCCAGAGATAGGACAAGGGGCAGCAGGCACAAACTGGAACACAGGAAATTCCATCTCAACATGAGGAAAAACTTCTTTACTTTGAGGGTGACAGAGCACTGGAACAGGTTGCCCAGAGAGGTTGTGGAGTCTCCTCTGGAGATACTGAAAACCTGCCTGGATGAATTCTTGTCCAGCCTGCTCTAGGTGAACCTGCTTTGGCGGGGGGGTTGGACTAGGTGATTTCTGAAGGTCCCTTCCAACCCCTACCATTCTGTGATTCTGGGTAGGAACACGATCTGGAGATCGTGTTTTAGTTTGTGCTTTTCTGGGATGTACGTGTGTGGGGTGGGTGCTCAGTGGTGTCTCTGAGTACAAATGGAGCCATGTGGGACAGGCTAGAAGTGTGATGGGAAGGCAGAAATAAAGCTTATTGCTTGTAATTATAAATGGCAGTTGTTAAGTTGGGAACAGTGATCTGCAAGGAATTGTGATTTTTTTTGTCCTGGATGCATGGGATTGTGCTAAGGTGGAAGAGACCAAAAAACCCAACCCCTACCTGGAGGTTCTGATATTTAATACAGCATCCCAAGCATCATCTGGAGTGCATTAAGGTATGACTGCATCTGGTTATCCCCTTGCTGGACTTGAAAATAAGCTGTTTGCTTGTCTGCTCTACTTACAGTCTGTGTATTGTGTTTGTCTACTTCACATGCTCAGTCTGCAATTCACAAACGGATTTTTATAATTGACTAAAGAACACTTAAAATGATTTTAAGTTTGTATCTAGCACCCCGAGGGAGGGATTATCATTTGGCCCCTGAGGAGACAGTGTTTAGTGAGAGGGAAAAGGGAGACAAACCTCTTGTGCCTGAGCTTGGTGTGTCCCCCCTAACTGATGCTGGCCTAATCCAGAAAGACTGCCAGGTGCTTTGGAAGAGGTGAGAGGCGTTTACTGGGATTTTGCTTTCCTCTGGAGCCGTTGCAGTCAAGTGAGACCAAAGTCAGCTGTGATGGGAAGGACTTCTGGTGGGTTAATGTGGTTGGGGATACCAAGCATCTCTGCACATAGGGGACAGACAGCTGTGTTAATGCAACAGCTTCTAGACACTGAATGTGATCAACATTTGATCTTACAAATGTATGTAGTTCTTGGGTCAGTTGAGATTAATTAAGATTATTTTATTTGTCCTAAAAGACTGACATTTTAACTATAATTATCATATTCATGCATATATGTAATGCTGCTATATCTGCATTTCCAAAATGCAATGGAAGATGTTTATTCTTTGAGGGTTGGTTAGTGTAACTATGAAAGTATTAGTAAAGGTAGGGGGAAAAAAACCTATAATAAGAGAGTGGTCTGTATTCATATTCATTGCTGTTATTCTTTACTATTTTCTTTAAAACAGTAAACATATATATTATTGCACAGCCAATTCATTCTCAGGGACGCTCCTTAGGCTATAAAATATTGCTTCTTGTAAGCCTTTTACCTTGAAAAGAGGCAGCAAACATAAGCTGGACTCTCTTAAACACATAAAATGTAAAATTTACACTTAATGATGTATTTTTTTCTTTTTTTACTGTGAGTCAGATACTGCTTGCTGAATATCTGCCTGTGACCTGTGAACTTTACAAAAAGGGCACTTATTTCTACATCATGTGGTGGGAGTGGAGGTTGACAAATGGTGCTCTGAGTGTCTTGGTGAGTTACCTATAGTGTCCATGAGGGAACCCAAACTGCTTGCTTTAAGTTGAAGGATTCAGAGTTTAAAGCAAACTTTTGCGATCTGTCAGCAATAAGGATCTGCCTGCTCTAGGAAAATCTGTTGTGGGCAGAGTATTTCACATCTTCCCTTGCTTTCTTTCCCCTTTGCTCCCAGTCCTGTCAACTGGATTTTTCAACAGTTAAATTACAGCATATGTTAAGAGCATGCTAAAGACTTAAGGCAAACTTGTGGAAGTGCCTTGTAATACAGAACAGTGGGAAAAGTACTGAAGTTGTCTTGGTTGAAGAAGACCAATTAATTTTACCAAGTCCTTCTGGAAAACATTGCACTGCTTTCCTGAGCAAAAGATGCCTGTGTACTGTGTTGCGGGGGCTATGGTTGTGTATTGCAGAGGTCATCTCCTCTCCTGTGCTGATTCTTTAAAGTCCTGCTAAGGTGTACTTGGAAGAGCAAGTGATGAGAAGGAATGAGCAAAGTCAGTCTGATTTGTGCATATGCAGTGTGAAATGGGAGACCCCAGGGAAGCTGGTGCTGGCTGGACACCAGGCGCAGTCTCTGGTACACAGGACTAGATGGGGCTGGTGAGCTGCCTTTCCTAGGCAAGACTAATTTTGTCAGGTCAGTCTTAGAAATATTTCCAGCTGCCAGGTGGGATGACCCAGGCATGAACTTCTGGCTGCAGTGAGAAACTTGCTCGCACAAAACAAGCATGGTGCTGTGGATACTTCAGGGAGAAAGCCGCAGAGGAGTGCATGAGCTAAGGTCAGTGGTGCATGTACCCTACAGTCCAGTCCTTTCAGGCTCCCCTCCTCTCTGGGAGGACAGAAGATGTAGAAATGCTCCATCTATTTTCAACAGGTAAAATAACTCTTTTTACTAGAAAAAATAAAAGGGCAGGAATCAGAGAATCATAGAATGGTTTAGTTTGGCCCTTAAAGATCAAAGAGTCCCACCCCCCCTGCCATAGGCAGGGGCACCTTCCACTGGACCAGGTTGCTCAAAGACCCTTCCAGCCTGGCCTTGAACACTTCCAGGAATGGGGCATCCACAACTTCCCTGGGCAACCAGTTCCAGTGTCTCACCACCCTCACAGTGAAGTTCTTCCTAATATCTAATCTAAATCTACCCTCTTTCAGTTTAAAAACACTACCCCTTGTCCTGTTGCTATGCTCCCTGATAAAGAGTGTCTCCCCATCTTTCCTGTAGGCCCCCTTCAAGTACTGGAAGGCTGCCATGAGAGCCTTCTCTTCTCCAGGCTCAACAACCCCTACTCTCTCAGCCTGTCTTCATAGGAGAGGTGTTCCAGCCCTCTGATCATCTTTGTGGCCCTCCTCTGGACCCACTCCAACAGGTCCATGTCCTTCTTATGTTGGGGGCCCCAAAGCTGGATACACTACTTCAGGTAGGGTCTCATGAGAGCGGAGTAGCGGGGCAGAAATGCTCCCTTTATCTGCCCTGTAGCCTGAAAGTGCCCTTCTTATGTGGGGGAAGAAGGAGGCTTTGAGTTCCTTAGGGAACTTGTAGGGCGACTAGGGATGCTGAATTTGAGGCACTGCATTTTAGTACCAAGTTTTGTCCCCATCTTTGACTCTTTGATAGTCCTGTATGTTGTGTGTCCTCTGCAAAGCTTGGGTAGCTGTTTATATTTCACCCTTTTTCAGGCTGAGTGGTTTTGAGGCTAAAACTCTGTTACCCTGTTCAGGGCTTCAGGATGTAGAGTAAGGAGGAAAGTTTGGAAACAAAAATTTCGTGGTATGAAGCATCAAAATGTTGCAACCTGGGAGTCAAAGCTAATAAATGTTATCTTGGGCTTTCTTGGACGGAAAAAAGGCTCTCACTCAGATTCTTGAATTCACAAGCATGGCTGGGACTGGAGTTGAGAGCTGAGGGCAAAACTTCGTGCACGGATGGCTAAATTAGGGTCTTACCTCTGTTACTGGTGACTGTTGGACGTTTTTCCATTATGCTATATATACTATTCACGCATGCTGCTCATTCTTTGTTGTGAACTGCCTTTGTGTCTTCAACTGCTGTCACCTCCGAGATGTCACGCAAAATTGATATCAACACTCTTTGAAGGCCATGACATTTCTTTCCATAACTGCAGGATGAGGACTCGAGCTTGCTTCATTGATGAGGAAGAGGGTTGTCCTTTAAAAACTGTTTAGGGAAGAGACTTTCAATTAGTCTGGTTCAGGCTGAACTGTTTGGAAGCTCATATAAAGCTTTAAAAAGTTTTGGAAACAAGAAGGTAAATCCAGGTAGAAGCTGATGATCTGCTCTGAAATCAATGGGAGCTGCTCCAGTGACTTCAAGGAAGAGAGCCCATCCATTGGGACAGTGTCTTGTGTGTGCGTTGGTAATGAAGAAAAGACATTGCCTATTTGTTGTTTTATGTGGGGAAATGAAGGCTTACTGTGGGTGTGAATCTTCTTCAGTAACAGCTGATGTGTCTGTGTAATGTCTTGGAAGACCTGAAGTATTGGCTTTTGCTTGTTTTCAGTCAAAGTTTCTTTTAGCTTTTTGAAATGAGCAGGAAAATCAAAGCAGGAATTGATCGAGATTGATGCGCGGTTTTGATTGACTTGGTGTAAAGGCAGGGCCAGGGCTATAGTTCCCCATATTATCAGTATGCTCAAGCTGGTGCAAACTGTTCTGCTAAGCCTGGGAGCAACATTACAGAGTGAGTCAAAAGGCGTCATGTCTGTGCTGCCATATGCCTGTGGGCTTTGAGTGGCTTTGTACACATGGCTTTTGACTTGAGCTGTTCTCTGCTGGGGCCTGAGGGAAGAAGAGTGAAGTACCCTTTCCAAAGAAAGAGCCTCTCTGTGAATTTGGGAATGTTTTTTTCTTTTCCTGCCTCTTCATCATGTCCTGTATGTTGTGTGTAATGAGACCTGCCTGCCTTTTGTGCTTTTTGTTTGTTTTTTTTTTTTTTTTTCTATCCCTGCTGATAGGAGTGTGTTTAGTAGAACACTCTTGATATAAATTGATAATTTTCTCTTTTTTTTTTTCTTTTTTTTAATAGGTATATTGCAGCAGATCTGAAAGTGATAGAAGAAAGAAGTGCTCCTGGGAAGAGAAACCTCCCTGCAAGGCCAGCCCTGAAGATGTGGACTGCCATTGTATTCTTCCTGCTCATTTCTTTCTGTATATGTGAACATAGTTTTTCTGTCCTGAAAGGGAGAGGAGTCCACGTAGTGCGAATAAACAGGCTTACAATTGAAAAGCTGTGTAGACAGGCTTGTCAAAGCCCAGGTGCTTCAGGTGAGGTTCTTGTCCCTTAGCTGGAATTCCAGCTGGGTTTTCTGTTCCTTAAAAGTCTCCTCTGCTCCCCTGGCAACTGTCTGTCTTCATTCCAGTTATTTACGGTTATGGCTTCTCTGTGCAGTGCTGTGGTGCTAAATAATTTGTGTCAGCTTTGGTTAAATTGAATCCAGAGCAACTGTTTCCCAGGGCCCTTCTAGCTTCTGTAAGAAACAACATGCATGTGCGCTTGGTGTGTACTGGTAGCGTGCAAACAGTGTTAGGTCACTTGACTTGAAGAATGATTATTTCATGCTGCCAGATGTTTGCAAGTGAACAGTGCTGTTGTAGACAGCTGCACTAGAATGAGTAGTCTTTACTTACTGGTATTTATGTGTGTTTTTTAGAAGAAAAATTTGTGTGCCTTAGAAGAAACCGGTTGCATCCTGCAACCAAGCACAGGGTTAAACAAGTTCGGGGAGATGAGAGCCTTCTGCTGTCTGCCTCTGAGATGTCTTTAAAAAGCATTAAACTTCTAAATGAGTCTTTCAGAGTTGTCCACGTGAAGGTTCCTATCTTATCTAGCCACATGTAAAACTTTGTAGCACCTACAAACAACTGGTGATGCTGTGAAGTAGCACCTACAAACAACTGGTGAAGATGAGACCTTGGCTCAGGTGGATGAATGTCTGACACTCAGATTGACAGGAACATCATAAAGATGCCTTTTTTTAATGCCCAGTGGTTTCAAATGTTTATTTTAAATATGAGATGTCCCTTCATAGTGGAAAGAAAGCACCTTTATAAACTAAGCATTTTATTTAGGAGGTAAAATATGAGTGGGTTTGTCTACTGGGCACCAGAGCTGTGAAAACTTCAGCTTCTGCTTTGTAAGTTGGTAAACCCTAGAGAGGTGATGCATTCACACTGACTGTGCTGCTGCTTAGGGTCTGTAGCACTGCGTGTTTGTCTGTTCCACTTGAGAATCTCTGAACACTGTGCACGTGTCATCTTAACCTCCTGATATCTTGATAAGGGTAGAAAAGGTGCTATCGGCTGCCTCTTCCAGAGGAGGGATATAAGGAATTTAGTTAGTCTGCGATCAGGGCTGGGAGATGATCTGAGTGCATGGTTCACCCTGTTGCTGACTTCAACAACTTTTTTTATATCCTTTACCTTGTTCTTTCCTGATGTGTTTTGTAAAAAACAAGTCCAGTTGAGTGTTAGCTTTGGGCAGAGGGATTTGAGTCTAGAATTAGATGACCTGTTCCATCTTCAGGGAAACCATGCAAAACAAAACCCAAAAGTTCAATCTTTTCAGGTTTTATGTTCTGTATTAAACCCACTGAAGCAATTTAATTCCTATTTGTTACTTGATGGCCAGCCTGTTGCACTACCTGTTGTCAAGGGAGATGGAGAAGACACAAACTCTTGGCTTAAACGTATAGCCATGCGCAGAGAAATCATCTGGAGAAAAGGGCCTGAAATGGTTTTTTTTGTTTGTTTTGGTTTTTTTTTTACAATTAGCTTTAGATTTTAAGATCAGCTTTACTGCTCTTGTTCTTCATTCCCACCTTCCCCAACTACGTTTATTTTTGTGCTTTCTTTCATTACAGGCATGAAGGCTGAGACTTAGATGTCAGAATAGTTATGCCTATGCAATTGTCAGTAAAGGAACAGTGGGTGTCATTTTTTTTTAGGTATTACAGTGTTAAGTTGCAGGCCAAGTTTGCATGGGGAGACATCTTAATATCTACCTTGCTTGGAGAAGTGGAAAAATAACATTCCTAGCTGGTTGGGCTCTCTTCCGTGGATGTAATTTATACCCTTGCTCACATAATATCACTAACTTAGAGAAGTAGTGCAACTGTCACAAAAAGAGCTGCTTTTGCCAGTACATTCACATCTCAGATGTGCCCTGTAGAAAAGGGAGTGGTTGCTGGTCTAGCTATTCCAGTGTCACCTTTGAATATCCACACCAGAGGCCAGGATATGTAGTTAGCAAACTAACATACCGTAAAACAATTGTAACAGTATCATGAGACAGTTTGATGCTTTAGTTGCGTGCTAATAAAAGCAGCAAAACTCTCTAGGGGTGACAGCATGGGTAGTAACTCTAACCTCTGTATGTTGTCTAATACAATGGGTTCAAGTCTCCAGATGCTGCTAGGGTAAGTGATGCACATGATGGAAAAAGTGCCTATCTGAGCAAAGGTCTGGCAATGCAGGATTCCCAAATGCTTGATGAACCTGTGTTGCAAGGTAAGATAAGCTCGTGCTCTTCCCTTTGCATCCGCGGCCAGATTCAGAGCCCTCCCTGGTTTCTTCTGTGGTGGCCAGTCCAGGGCTGGAGGGGAACATCTTGGCCATCTGAGCAGTCTGGCTCTGACAACAGAGCCACTTGGCCATACTTCTGTGAATACTCTGGGGAAAATAAAGGGAAAATATGACATGGCTGCAAAAGCAAATATTCCTGCTCCCTACTTCCACAATACATCTGTTTACGTGGCTTTTGCTTGCATTTGGGCAATTTTCCAGTAACAGCAGGCTTAAAAATGAAATAAACCAGTTTGGTAGGGCAAGACTTTGGCTTCTGCCTACATGGTTTCCTTTCAAAATAGCTCTGAAGAGCTTTTATTGTCCTTCCACATTCTATTTTTTCTTTTTTCCCTCCCATCTCCTAATTGGAAGTGAGCAAAAAGGAGCCACTGGGTGGCCCATATCTTGCAGTAGACACACCAGCTAGATCCTCCATCTGGAATTGCATCAAAGGGAGTAATAATCAGTCCAGCTCAATTAGAGGTATCTGATTCTCCTGGGGAGCAACAGGGAAGTCATGAGCAGCTGGACACCATCCTGATGGCAGCAGAAACCAGGATGCTGTAACTGTGCTGACCCCATTAGTCTCTTGACCTTTTTGAACTGACTGACTTAAATATGTAACCAATGTAAGATATGCTGCCGGCTTTTTGTTTTTCCCTTCCCAAGAAATGAGAAATAGCATGATTTACAGTAGTAGATAGTCTGCATTTCTTCACTAGCATGACTTAGCAAGTGAGGAACGGAAGGTAGGATTGGGAATCGGGGCACATCCAAACATTCCTTTTGTTTCTGAGGAGTGGATTTTAATTTCTTGAAGGGCTGCTGCTGTATCTCCTGCTCTCTGTGACTGTAGAAGCATTTTGCTTTATCACTTTTTAAGTCCCATTTTTTTAAAGGCTTTGAATGATTCCAGTCACTTTCTTAACATTGTATCAGTCAGTAAAATTCTACCTTTGCTAGTTTCTTTAGGGCTGTCAAAACAGACTGTGGTTGTTGGTAAAGGGATTTCTCCAAGTTCATAAATATTCCACAAGCCCTTTTAATAACTGTGGTAACATTTGTTTATGAAAAGTTCAAGCTTCCCATAGCCTTAATCCTCAGTGAGGGTAACTCTTTGTAGATAAGAGCTTTAAATATAGCCATATGTACCACCTAGGCATGTTTTTTGCCCTTTCTCACAGTTCTAACAAAACACAGAAATGAATTTCTCCTACTGTACACAAGTTCCCTTTAATCCACTGATGGGTGTCCAGTGGGCACACATCTGCTTCATCCCAGACTGAGCACTGTGGTGTTTTCTTCTGTGGTTTGGGTTTTTTTTGTTGTTGTTGCAGCACGTGTTCCAGAACTACTGTCACATGCTACTGTGGTATTACATAAAATCATAGCATAATTAAGCAGAAAGGGACTTTTGAAGGTCTCTGATCCGAACCTGACTTAGATCTGGCTGTGTAAGACCTGATGGAGAGTACACCTCTCTGGCCCCCAGCCTAGTGTTTGAATGTCCTTGTGGTGGAAACTGATTTTTCCCCTTGATGTTGAGTTTTCCTATAAATCATCTGGTTCAGCCCCTCAGATATCTAGTAGTCTCCCTGGGACTCACTCTAGTACGTCAATACCCCTCTTGTATGCTGGGGAGCCCAAAACTGGGTGCAGTGTTTGAGATGTCTCAGCACTGGTTAGAGGAGGTTCATTCTTTCCCTCAAAGTTTGGTTATGTGTATGTAGACATGCCTAGAAAAAAGTTAGTGAGTTTGAAGGAATGTCAGGAGAGAGAGTTCCTACTGTGATGAGTTTATTTAGCTTGTGTTGGGATTTGACTTAGTAAAACACAATTTCTGTGATGGCTCCCATGGCTAATGGTATCATTGTTCAGTAAATGAAGAATAAATTTTTGTGCAACTCTAAGGACTGAGATGAGAGCTGTCTCTCATGGGTGACGAGATGGGTGTCTCCTTGGTTTCAGCTCACTTTTTTCCCTGCCCCTCTCCTCTCCCCCCCCCCTTAAGGCATCTAGATGAATGCCAGCATTTAGATGGGTCCAAACTATAGTGCACTCTTTGTCCCTGATGGGGTAAGTGAACTGCTGTTGTTAGAAGATGTTGGTACCAGAAGACAAGCAGGTGGGTAGGCTGTAGCTGCCACATTGATTTCATTGGCTTTCCAGTTATTTTCACTAAGGCTGAGTTGGGATCCATTAAGGCCAGACCTTCCAGCTTTTTTTTTTTTTTTTTTAATTCTTTAATTACACCCATGGAGCAGTGTGTTCAGTATGCTGTGTGTAGCAACACATTTCCTCTGCTGTTTTCAGGTAACCATCACTGTAATTGGTCTGTGCCCTACCAGAATCGCTGCATCCTCTTGCAGTGTCACCAGCTGAGTGTGTGCCAGAATGCTGGAGAGCAAGACATCAGAGATCTGCTTGGAGGTAACACCATGCTTCAGGCTCCTGCTAAAGCTAGGATCCTGATCCTTTTGCCTTAAATACCTATGTGTAGACCTTGACTGGCTTTCAGCTGAGGGAGATGGGTTGTGAAATGCCTGTGAGATGATTCTGTAGGTAAAGTCTGTTCTCTGGAAAAACTGTTTCACTAGCTTTCTAAGGGCTCTGGCACTTACATGTGCATGATGGGTCTTTGAGTAACTTTTGTAACTGTTACTGAGTAACAGTTTGTCTCCACCTTGAAGACATCATTCATTCAAGTCATTTGCATTCCATACGCTGTCCTTTGGAAAATAAAGGCATAACAAATGTTTTTATATTTCTTAAGAGAAAATAAAATGTCTTGGCATTGTTTTTTCTGAGATTAACAGGATTTTGTGCCAGAGGCAGCAGGCTGCTTCTATAATCAGAGCAGCCTTAGCAGTAATTGCTCATGGTAACTTTCGAGTGCCAGAGTCTTCCATTTCAATTAAGTGACACAACAAGACAGGCCTTGTTGGTAATTGGGGAATCAGTCTTGTAAAGTATGTTTCAAGAGTTCGCTATACCCAAGTTTAAAATGAAGAAAGTTTGTTCATGGTTCTTTTGGGTTGGCAAAGGTTTCTCTGCAACGTAGCAACCAGACCTTTGATAAGCAGATGGGATTTATGTCACTGTAAATCTAGATCACTAGTTGTGAAGGAAATTCTTCTGAAGGATGGAGGTGTAAGTGGAAACTTCCACTCAGTTTTGAGAGGTGAAAATTATTAATGTAAGCATGAAGCATTGTCAATGCTATGTAACTTTGATAGCATGAGTCTTCTCAGGAGCTGGCATTTGCAACACTGCTCCTGTTGATAATGTGCTTCTGCATTGTAGCTCTGTACTTCATTACCCCCCTTTTGTGGAATTAATTCCCTGGTTGGGCAAATGCCAGAGGTCTGTGGCAAAAAAACAAATAAAAAAAACCCAAAACCAACAACTCAAAACCCCAAAGGGATTATATGCAATAAAGGCAGGGTCTGAGTTTCCATGTTCTTGTTGACTTGAGGACTGATTTATTCCAGTTGTACTATGTGTACTGCAGAATACATGTTCTGGTTTGTATGTTGGGGGTATGAGATCAGATTTGAGCTTGAGAGTTTTATTCTTATGAAACTTATTGGTTTTGTCTTTTTGAAGAAATTGTCAGTGGGAAAAGGGAAACGGTCCTGTTTCACCAAAGCTATCCACAAAAAAAGGAGAGGATGGTGAATGCAGGGGCTGACCAACACAACGTGGAAAACCTGTTTTCCTCAACAGCACGGACTCACAAGATTCACTTGAGGCAGTTGTTTGGGAATGAGAGTGAAGATGTAATAACAAATGCAAGAGAAACATTTGTAAGCAATGTGACGACCACCACAGGGATGAATACCACTGCCACAGCCATAACAACAGACATTACAAATGCAACTGTCCTCACTACAGCTTATGAAACAACTGCCAATGCCTCAAACGCCCCTGGAGGTTCTCATCGCCTTGCTGAAGCCATGTCGTCCACTGCCTCTTCTCCTACTTCTGGTAACATCCCTGCTTCCACTTCCAGCCATTACATCAAGTTTGTGATCACCGCCAAAAAATCAGGCAATAGTAACTCTGGCTCAGTATTGTCCCCCTCTTCTCCTTCTGCTCCCCTCACTGTCATTTCTGAAGCAAATACTCAAATGCCTCAAACAAAGCAGTTTAACCCAGCCACCACCACCAGCGCTCCCCGCTCTAGTAGCCCCACCACTGTTGGAGCTGGCCTGAAGACACTGAGCACAACGTTGACCACCCTCATCCCACAAGATGCAGGAACATCTTCCACTACTTCCACTCATGCCATGGTTTTACCTACTGCCTCTACCACAGAAACTACAACTGGGCATGGGATAAAGTCATCATCTCACATTTTTTCAACAGCCACAGCTCCAGCAGATGCACCCAAAACAGCTTCGGCCCCTGCAGAAACTCAGGACAGGGACAATGAGTATCTTCTCATTGCTGCTGAGCCCCTGACTCAGTACTTAGTGGATAAAAGTTCACTTCTTGCAGTGCTTTTAGTTGGTACATTCTTTTTCATAACTATTATAGTTCTTTTCCTTATGCAGGCCTATGAGAGCTACAAGAAGAAGGATTACACACAAGTGGATTACCTTATCAATGGAATGTATGTGGACTCAGAAATGTGAAAGGGTGATGATAAAACAGTGGGCAGAGAGATGGAAAGGAGATTGAGAGCCTGCCTGACTTGTTTTTCTTTCCTATTTGCCTATAACACAAACTGAAAGTGCTTCCAAATTTACTTCTGGTGCAATTGAGGAGAAATGCCATGTACTGTATTAAGAAAAAAAAAAATATATTTTTTATGCAACTGTGCAGCAGGTTGTTGTAAAAAAAAAAAGTAATTTTTAAAACTTCCATAATGCACAATAGCTTTGGCCATTATTTTTCATTGCGAAATAAACCTAACAAGAGGTAAACCATCATCCTTGGAAAATGCTGTGGCGCTTTTTCAACTGTTTACAGTGCAAGTTCCTTGTTTCGTGTGTGCTCCTCTGGAAACAGAGCAAAGGATGCTCATACCTTTTGCAAAGTACTCTGAAATCGACAGATGAGAAGTGTGGAGTATTGCTGCAACAGGGAACTTCTAATCCAGTATGTGTCATATTTCAGTGTGCTTCTTGCTTGTAAAGAGGTCTGTTTACAAGGCGTTGTAAACTCTGTTTACTGCTACCCCAAGATATCTTTTCACTATAGAACAGATGGTTTAAGAGCCTCTGCACTTAAATAATCTTATTTTTGTATTCACTTAATAAATGGGGCCCTGGAAGGGCATATCTTGTTGCATTTCTGTTTTCATTCCTGTCTCTGCCAGTTCAGAAGCAGGCAAGTGGGCTTTTGGGGCTTAAGCATATTGGCTGTACTTCAGTATTCCAAGTATGGGGGCTTTGAAGACCTCACTGAAAGTATGGACATATCACAGAAGATGCTGATCATCTTCCAGGGTACTGCTTCTGTAATTTCAGAGCAGTGTGCTGCCAGCCTCCAGGTATGCAGACCCATTCACTGCTTATTGTCTTTCATGCATAGAGCATCAGGCTCGGTTTTGGTTTTGCATATGGCCAACAGTGTCCTGGGGTGCATCAAAAGAAGTGTGGCCAGCAGGTCAAGGGAGGTGATTCTGCCCCTCTACTCTACTCTGGTGAGACCCCACCTGGAGTACCGCATCCAGCTCTGGAGCCCCCAACATAAGAAGGACATGGACCTGTTGGAGTGGGTCCAGAGGAGGGCCACAAAGATGATCATAGCAGAGGTGCTCCGGCCCTCTTAGGACAGGCTGATAGAGCTGGGGTTGTTCAGCCTGGAGAAGGGAAGGCTCCGGAGAGGCCTTCCAGTACCCAAAGGGGGCCTACAGGAGAGCTGGGGAAGGACTTTTTAGTAGGGTGTATAGTGATAGGATGAGGGGGAATGACTTTAAACTGGAAGAGGCTAGATTTAGATTAAATATTAGGAAGAAATTGTTCACTTTAAGGGTGGTAAGGCACTGGAACAGATTGCCCAGAGAAGTTGTGGCTTTCCCATCCCTGGAAGTGTTTAAGGCCAGGCTGGATGGGGCTTTGAGCAACCTGGTCTAGTGGGAGGTGTCCCTGTCTATGGCAGGGGGGTTGGAACTTGATGATCTTCAAGGTCCCTTCCAACCTAAACCATTCTATAACTTAGGACCAGCTCAGAGGTGCTGGTAAGTTGGAAACCTTATTGTATGTGGAGTTGCAGCTCACCTACTATCTGCAGCTGAGAGAGTGAGTAAAAAACACTTGATTTTCAGCAAGTATTCTTCAGTGATTAATGCATCTTATTTGAATGACACATATATACCAATAGCAAACTGCTGGATCAAGGTGCGTTGCACTTTTTTAAAACCAGATTGATAGCTTGTCTCTCACTTTGAATTAGTTGGCTTTTTTTTAATCCTGCTCACATGTAATCTTGAGGCTGATAACAGGCAACCCTCAGAATTTGAGCTGCTGGGTTTTGCTTTGGTTATTTATCCAAATTCTTTGGCTGTTTAGAATTTGGAGGGAGTCTTTACCCTGGAAGCAATTCCATTATAGACTTATCATCATCAAGCTGAAAATGCTATGAAAACAGCTGCAAATAGTACTAGCAGTAGCAAAGGCAAGGGGTTGTTTGAAAGAAATGGGCGGGAAGTAGATTCCTGAATCTTACCCAGTACAAATTTTGAGGACAAAATTTCAGCAAGTATGTTGAGGAAAGGAAAGAGATTGCTTTGGAAGTGACATGACTTGGTTGTCAGTGTGAGGTTGCATTTTGCAGTGCTTGTGCATGGACTGCATCTGCATGCTGGTAGGCTAGAGCATCTCTCAGGGTAAAAGGATAGTGCGGTTTTGGGAGTCTCCCTCCTTGGAAGGCTTGAAGTGTAAGCCATGAAATTCACATGATGTTTCCTGGAGGGGAAAAAAAAGTTTGAGGGACTGAATTTTATTGTATTGTAAGATTATTTTTATTTGGTTTCTCCTCAGCAGAAGGGAACTGAAACCTGATTTCTGTCATCTTCCAGGAGCTGCCCATGTGCAGTATCTATGCAACAAGGTGCTGGGAACATTCCCCAGCGTAGCTGGGCAGTTGCACCCTGTTGAGGTGCTTGGGACTCTTCACCTCTCAGCACAGGTGTTCTGAGCTGTTAGCAGATGTCAGGCAGATGCTGCTCTTCAACCACTAAGTCCAGAGACTTCTCTTTACATAGGAATCTCAGGTTTCACCTTAATTGCATGATGTAAGTAGGTGAGTCACTAACCGCAGATCTAAGCATGTGCTTTGAGCTCCACTCCAGATACTGAGATAAGAGCTGTCTCCTTGACTCCCAGGTAAGGAGGTGGGTGTTACCTCAGATTCAGCTCACTTCTTTTTCTCCTCATTTAGGCATCGTGGGTAAATGCTTGCATTTCGATAAGGTAGGCAATAGCGCTCTTCCTTGTAATTTATCCCTGCCTATATAAGTGAATTCCTGTCTGTAGGAAGTGCCTTCATGCATAAACGGTCAGTGTTGCAAGTGTTCTGCTAGTGCTCTGCAGTGTTTTGGTTTTGTTTTTGTTTTGTTTTTTTTTTTTAACATTGCCTGAGCTATTTCCACAAAGGCAAGCTATGATCATCAGACCTGTAATTGTTTATCCTGGAAACAGGGAATTCTTTGGATAAACTTTGCACTTTTTTTTGGTCTCCATGGATCTCTTCATAGACCCAAAGTTGGACACCAGATTCTGTGGAGTGGAGTGGAAGCTTGTGAAGTTGCATTGGTTTTTATTCTTTTCTTTGAAGAGATATTAAACTCCTGTGCTGGTTTCTTGGAGCTAGCAAGAAGGGAAGTGAGAAGAAGGGGGCATTACATAAACAAAATTCTGTGAGAGTTTTCTTTTCTAAAAACAGATACTTTCTAAGATTGGTTTATTAAGAACAAATAAAACCCTTTGGGGATAATTTAAGTGGGTATGATATAATTGCAAGAGTTGGAATTGGGTTACAACTCTATTTACAAGAGTCTTAGGGAGTTTCTCATGGACACAGTGAGAATACTACAACTACATGATGACTAAAAGAAACCACCACCATAAAAATCTTTGTGGCTTCTTAACAGGTTCTTACAGGAAGGCGAGTACTCATAAGAAGCTTGTTGCAGTTCCCACAGCCCTGGTATGTTTACATCCAGGTCTCCTCTTCAGATACTGGCACAGCCTGTCTTTTTTGTTCTCATTTGAGTTACTGCACTTCCAGCTGTTAATTACTTTCTCAGCAGAAACAGAGCTTTTTACTGTAATGCTGGGCACCAGAGTGAGTCTTGTCTCAGTGCATTTCTGCACACAAGGTAGAGATCTTTATGCTTACCATAGAATCATAGAACGGTTTGGGTTAGAAGGGACCTTTAAAGGTCACCTAGTCCAACCCTTCTGCAATGAGCAGGGACATCTTCAACTAGATCAGGTTGCTCAGAGCCCTGTCCAAATGATCTTGAATGTTTCCAGGGATGGGGCACCTACCACCTCTGTGCAACCTGCTCCAGTGTTTCACCACCCTAAGCACAAAAAAAAAAAAAAAAAAAAAATCAGCAGTAGGACTGTGGAAGGTGGACTGCATGGGCAGTCCTCTAAAGTGCTCTTCTGTAGCGGTGGCTTGATATGCAAGTCCAAAGCAATTAGGATTTCTTCCCTTCTGGCTCTTTTTGCATTTGAAGGTCACCAGCAGCTAACATTCTCTTGGTTGTTTCTACACATTGTTTCTGTTTGGGCTAAAGCCAGGCTACTACAATCAATGGCTTCACTTGTTTTGCTTTTGAGGCTGCAAGTGTGGGCAAATCCATTTCATGGTGTAGTGTTGCAATAGTTAATAGTGAGTACCTTAGATGAGGAAATGCAACACCTTTGAAAGCGTGTTTGCAGAATTCACAATATAACAATAGACAGGGTCCTACCAAGTTATCTAGAAGACATCTGCCAAGGGACTGCCAAAAACAATATTCCGCTGCTGTGAAGCATAGCATATGTGACACACATTGGGTTTCAATCTGTTGCATGGCCTCTTTCCTCAACAAAACACAGGGACATCCTGGAATTAAATTTAGATTAGATTAACTCTGAATGCCACCTCCCTCTTATTTAATTGCCTGTTTTAGAAGTATGTTGTTCTAGACAGGAGAGAAGAAACAAAATAATGGAATATTAAAACATCTAAAGGAATAATACGAATGAAGAACTTTTCGACTGCAAATTAGTTTGTAATATGCCATGTGGTGTCCAGAGAATTGTGGAGCATATGCAGAACTCTTAAGCATGACCTTTAAAACAGCTAATGCATGTAGTCAGAAAACACCTAGGGAGGTCTGGAAACAGGTATCATGGAGTTGGTTTCTCTAGATTTGCCTGGTGACTGTTCATTTCTGGCATCAAAAAAGGAAACCTGAGCCCTGCCCTACTGAAGCATTTCTCAGGGCTTTTTGCACTGTTGCTTCTCTGGTATGCAGTAAAGGCAAGTTCATATTGCCGCATCTCCCCTGACCAGGGCAACTCTAGTTGTCTCTCTTCCATGGCCTCTAAGGCTCATGAAACTTAATTACCTTTGCGCTTGGCTGAAGTTGGCCCATGGGTTCAAAAGCAAATGCTTTCATCTTACACAAAGTATGAGCTCGTAAGTTTGTGCTTTTCTCGGAGAAACCAGGATAAACAACAGCAAAGCCTTAGATCTGTAATGATTCCTATCTGCTAGAAGACCTAAGTAGTTCAGGGTTAGGACTCTGCTTTGACTCTTTGGTCATGTTGGAT